TTCTGAATACAGCTGTGAAAAGAGAATGAAAGGCAGCTGGCACTAACCTGAGGTGATGCTTGTAGAGCTGGACACCAACAATATGGCAACTGGAAATCTCAAACTTTATATGTTGCCTTGTATTTGGGGCGTATTTTGGAGATGACGTAATTTTTTGTTAAACTGCTAATTAAACAAACTGCTACGATTTCACTGCCAGCTACGGTGTAGTCTGTAGGTCTAAATTGGACTTCACAATCACTTTACTATCCAAATGTGTATGTGGTATTCAGAGTTGGGAAGTAGTGGAGTACAAATACTTTGGTACTGTACTTAAGTACATTTTTCTGGTATCAGTACTTTACTCCACTACTTATTTTTCTGACGACTTTTTACAAATACCTGTAATTTCTACTTCTTACATGTTGAATACAAATACCTGTACTTTCTACTTCTTACATGTTGAATACTAATACCTGTACTTTCTACTTCTTACATGTTGAACACAAATACCTGTACTTTCTACTTCTTACATGTTGAATACAAATACCTGTACTTTCTACTTCTTACATGTTGAACTCAAATACCTGTACTTTCTACTTCTTACATGTTGAACTCAAATACCTGTACTTTCTACTTCTTACATGTTGAACCCAAATACCTGTACTTTCTACTTCTCACATGTTGAACTCAAATACCTGTACTTTCTACTTCTTACATGTTGAACCCAAATACCTGTACTTTCTACTTCTTACATGTTGAACCCAAATACCTATTTCTACTTCTTACATGTTGAACTCAAATACCTGTACTTTCTACTTCTCACATGTTGAACCCAAATACCTGTACTTTCTACTTCTCACATGTTGAACCCAAATACCTGTACTTTCTACTTCTCACATGTTGAACCCAAATACCTGTACTTTCTACTTCTCACATGTTTGAAACCCAAATACCTGTACTTTCTACTTCTTACATGTTGAAACACAATACCTGTACTTTCTACTTCTCACATGTTGAACACACATACCTGTACTTTCTACTTCTTACATGTTGAACCCAAATACCTGTACTTTCTACTTCTCACATGTTGAACTCAAATACCTGTACTTTCTACTTCTTACATTTCTAACACAAATACCTGTACTTTCTACTTCTCACATGTGAACCCAATACCTGTACTTTTCCTACTCTTATCTTACATGTTGAATACAAATACCTGTACTTTCTACTTCTTACATGTTGAAACTCCAAATACCTGTACTTTCTACTTCTTACATGTTGAACCTACAAATACCTGTACTTTCTACTTCTTACATGTTGAACCAAATACCTGTACTTTCTACTTCTACATGTTGAACTCCAAATACCTTACTTTCTACTTCTTACATACCATGTCTGAAACTCAAATACCTGTACTTTCTACTTCTTACATGTTGAACCCAAATACCTGTACTTTCTACTTCTTACATGTCTAACCACAATACCTGTACTTTCTACTTCTTACATGTTGAACTACAAATACCTGTAATCTACTTTTCTACATGTTGAACTCAACTACCTGTACTTTCTACTTCTTACATGTTGAACACACAACCTGATACTTTTCTACTTCTTACACTGTTTGAACACAAATACCTGTACTTTCTACTTCTTACATGTTGAACCCAAATACCTGTACTTTCTACTTCTTACATTTCTAACACAAATACCTGTACTTTCTACTTCTTACATGTTGAACACTAATACCTGTACTTTCTACTTCTTACATGTTGAACCCAAATACCTGTACTTTCTACTTCTTACATTTTGAACACACATACCTGTACTTTCTACTTCTTACATGTTGAACACAAATACCTGTACTTTCTACTTCTTACATGTTGAACTCAAATACCTGTACTTTCTACTTCTTACATGTTGAACACAAATACCTGTACTTTCTACTTCTTACATTTAGAACACAAATACCTGTACTTTCTACTTCTTACATTTTGAACACACATACCTGTACTTTCTACTTCTTACATGTTGAACACAAATACCTGTACTTTCTACTTCTTACATGTTGAACTCAAATACCTGTACTTTCTACTTCTTACATGTTGAACACAAATACCTGTACTTTCTACTTCTTACATGTTGAACTCAAAATACCTGTACTTTCTACTTCTTACATGTTGAACACAAATACCTGTACTTTCTACTTCTTACATGTTGAACACAAATACCTGTACTTTCTACTTCTTACATGTTGAACTCAAATACCTGTACTTTCTACTTCTCACATGTTGAACCCAAATACCTGTACTTTCTACTTCTCACATGTTGAACTCAAATACCTGTACTTTCTACTTCTTACATGTTGAACTCAAATACCTGTACTTTCTACTTCTTACATGTTGAACACAAATACCTGTACTTTCTACTTCTCACATGTTGAACTCAAATACCTGTACTTTCTACTTCTCACATGTTGAACTCAAATACCTGTACTTTCTACTTCTTACATGTTGAACACAAATACCTGTACTTTCTACTTCTTACATGTTGAACACTAATACCTGTACTTTCTACTTCTCACATGTTGAACTCAAATACCTGTACTTTCTACTTCTCACATGTTGAACTCAAATACCTGTACTTTCTACTTCTCACATGTTGAACTCAAATACCTGTACTTTCTACTTCTTACATGTTGAACTCAAATACTTGTACTTTCTACTTCTCTCATTTTCCAAACAGCTGGTTGCTTTAGTCTGAATGTGTGTTTGATGCGTGATCATTATTCTTTAGAGTCATTGCGTGCCTATTGATTTGAACACGATCCGTGTATCCATCATTTCCTGGTCTTCTCTAAAGAAGAGGGACCAATGGAAACGTTGTCATGTTGCCGTTGTTCAGCATGGAAACATTCATTAGCTAACAATGACATTATTGTTCTATTATATAAAGGGAGGTCAGGTACTCTTTAAAGCAGCTGCTAGCTATGGGTACTTTCTACTGAAGTACATTTCAAAGCCCTCTTTACTTTGACTTGAGTAAAGACGTTTAGTCAGTACTTCTACTTTTACCAGAGTATTTTTAAACACGAGTATCTGTACTTCTACTTGAGTACAGGATGTGTGTACTTTTGTCATCTCTGGTGGTATTTAAGAAAAAGTGTAATGACTCTAATCCAGCTTCTATTTTCACTTAAGCTTCCGAAGTAAAGAACAAAGCAGTTTGGACCTACTGTTTAGGAGACAATATTCGAATGATTGATTTAAATGTTTTACCTTTATTATTTAGTACAGCTGAAGGTAGACAGCAAGGACAAGTAAGGAACTTAGCCTTAACAGACATGCTACCAGCGTTGTCATTGTCACATCTTAAGAAATGTGCTTTTTTCTAAGACTTTCAAACCAGGAAGCGTTGAGAACACTATTTTTGTTCTCAATATTATTTGTTAAATCCTGGGAGCCCAACAACTGCAAAAGATATGCATTGTGCTCCCAAGAAATATGATCATATTTGACAACGTTATGGTGAGAATATATGAGCAAGAATGAACAAATAACATGGCTGCCATCCAGGGGCGGATCTACCGGGGTGGCATGGGGTAGCAGCTGCCACCCTAAAAAATAGCCTTGCCACCCCAGTTGGCAGCTTTGTTTTGAAATAAAAGTTGTGGCTCATCGGACATCTATGACGAGAGAAAATCTCTAATGTCCGAGTGCAAGTGAATGCAGCACAAGACTCGAGTCTTGTGACCCCTCCCCCGGCCCTTGCGCGAGCGTGGAAAAATATGATTGGCGGCGATTTCATTTGAACGGGGGACGGCGCAAAACGAGAAGCATTCGGACCGATTCGGACCCAAGTAGATGGAAGGAATGAGGTATTTGCGGCCTACTATGACAGAGAAGAGACTGTCAAGTGTGGATGTACTCAGCATTGAATCAAAACGCACTAAAGCTTTGGATCTTGATCAGTTTGTGAGGCGTTTTGCTGAACAACAAGGTAATCGCCGCATTCAGCTGTAATAGACATGTCAACTTGATGCTCTGCTCACAGATGACCATAACACACAGTTAAGATGATGACCAGTATGTGTGTATATATTTATTTTCTTTGAGGGGGTCTGCCCCCAAAAAACAGTTTTAAGTCCTGAGAAAGTCAAATAAGACGGTGTAAAACGACACTGCCCAGCCAACAGAAAGTAACCACTTTGATTTAAGATAAGATGGAGCTTTATTAATCCCTGTGGGGAAATTCAGTAGTTCAAACAGCAACAGATTCACACAGATTAATAAAATCAAAGATAAAAATGATGAAAAACTATGAAATAAGAAATGAATACAAAAGAGCATATATAGCTACACATTGGGTCATATAAACTATGAAGTAAGAAATGAATGAAAATGAACATATATACATATTGGATCATACGTATTACAAATATTTGCATGGATGTATGGAAACAGTGTGTATTGATGTCCAGTAACATTGTTGACCCCTTGTTGTGCAGCCTGATGGCTACAGGCACAAAGGATGTAACTAGGCCAGTAGGTAAGGGCTTTCCACTGGATCATAACTGCAGCGATGTTTTAGCTGAATACACGTTGTTTAACCCTAACTGATGCAGTTAGTCACTTCTTTAATGTTTGTTCTTTCTGATGTAAAGTCAAGGTTGTAACTGTTTGCAGTAGTCGTGGGGCGCTGAACTGTTCTTTTGATTATTATGTATTTTGATATATGATAGTCATTCAAATTTGAAGGAGGGTGAGCAAGCATCTTGAGGAACATTCATCATTAACTCAGTGATTGACAGCTGATAGGAATAATATGATTGTTAATATTATCATATTAATTCAGACAAACATCAATGAGACAGTTAATTAATGTACTTATTGCAGCAGTCTGCATATATTTGGTACCCCTGCTGGTCTTTTATTTGTTATTGTTCAGTTAAAATGCATTAAATGATGTCTGCCACCTTATATATTTATATTAAAGGCTTTACTGATGTGCCACAATAATGTCACCTAATGTTATTGAGTTAAAATATCAATATTGTGGCTTTCCAAGTTAACATTGATTGATTTGACTGCGATTGAATCAGCATATACTTCTGCCAGGGGATGCCACCCCTCAAAATCTCCTACCACCCTCTTGCCACCCCATGAATATTTGTCTAGATCTGCCCCTGCTGCCATCGCTAAGAAAGTCTTTACAAACAGTGGGACTTATTACCAGACTGTAACTCGTGTTTTAATGCATCTTGATTAGCCTCAATGGGGACATCTTTCACGTGTAAAGACTTAGGATTTAGGATTTCCATGTAAAGCATTCAGGTTGGAAATCCCAATGCTTACTGTGGGCTCTTACACAGCAGATACGTTTTCAGGTACTTCCTAAAGGACGTGTCTCGTATGCCATAGACTATTGGACTAATTGCTCTTGGCATGATCATAAGAACAATATAGAAAGCAAAAAGGCTGTCTGTAATATTTTCAGGGAACCTTTGTATCAGGGAATCTTGAAACTGGGGGGATATATAGTTTGTTATACAAAGCAGCACCTGAAACCCATGCAGAATGATTGTGTTTTTGGCCTTTTTAGCATTACTGCTAGCTGTTTTAGCAGTGGACAGGATTTTAAAATAGGTGAAAAAGATAACAAACCAAACCACAATCAGATACACAATATAGGTTATATTTCTCTTCTCCAAGATGATGGGATTTGGGAAGGTAGTTTTTCTGAGGCAGAAGATCTTTGACTGAAAGAAGTCCAGTGGCACTGTGGCCAAAGTGATGAAGAGGTCAGGGAGACAAGACAACATGGTGGTCGTCCAGATCAGACCAATCAGGATCAGCGTTCTCTTGATGGTACAGATATGTGCGTGGCGTAGAGGGAAACAAATGGCGATGTAACATTCAATTGCCATGCAGGCCAGATTCAGAGGCGTGTTTTCAGTCATGATGAGAGCCATCAGGATGAAGGTGCAGCAGACAGAGGCGTTTATTTTGTAGATGGTGTAGCTGATGATGAACATGCAAAGGGAAAGAGTCACTTGGATCATGTCGTTGATCACCAGGTGAATGAAGAGGACGTACCGAGGATTCGTGTAGAAGATCTGACAGGTGGGGAATAAGAGCAAAGACGGTTGGTTAATAGTTATAGGTCGGCTGAGTACTATTTATTTCAAAGGTCCCCTATTATACTGTTTTTCATCAATATGTTATAGGTCTCAGATAAATACAGAGCCTGTCTCTGATTGGCTGAAACACCAAACAGATCATTGCAGCATTACCCATAATCCCCTCTGTTTCAGCCCTGTTTCAAAAGTGCTGATTCTCTGTCTGTTACTTTAGATGAAAATAAGGAGCCCCTCCCCACGCCCCTCTGAGAGACATTTGGTTACAAAGAACACAATGGTGCTCTAGGAGGAGATTCAGGTGATAAGGGGGGGGGGGGGGGGGGGGGGTTACCTTGGTTGCTGATTGGCTAATGGTTACACAAGACAAAACATCGTTATGACATCATAAAGTGGCCAAAATCTGATCAGCTCATTTTCAGACAGGTTTTTATAGAAATGGATCAAAAAGAGAGAGAATCTTTTTTCCTGAGACTTTCAGAGTCTCTTTCCACAGAGGGGACACATGTTGATGTAGAAGAGACATGAAGAAGAGGGGACACATGTTGATGTAGAAGAGACATGAAGAAGAGGGGACACATGTTGATGTAGAAGAGACATGAAGAAGAGGGGACACATGTTGATGTAGAAGAGACATGGAGAAGAGGGGACACATGTTGATGTAGAAGAGACATGAAGAAGAGGGGACACATGTTGATGTAGAAGAGACATGAAGAAGAGGGGACACATGTTGATGTAGAAGAGACATGAAGAAGAGGGGACACATGTTGATGTAGAAGAGACATGAAGAAGAGGGGACACATGTTGATGTAGAAGAGACATGGAGAAGAGGGGACACATGTTGATATAGAAGAGACATGGAGAAGAGGGGACACATGTTGATGTAGAAGAGACATGAAGAAGAGGGGACACATGTTGATGTAGAAGAGACATGAAGAAGAGGGGACACATGTTGATGTAGAAGAGACATGAAGAAGAGGGGACACATGTTGATGTAGAAGAGACATGAAGAAGAGGGGACACATGTTGATGTAGAAGAGACATGAAGAAGAGGGGACACATGTTGATGTAGAAGAGACATGAAGAAGAGGATTTTGCATAATAGGTGACTTTAAATTTGAATTAAATCTTTCTTCTAAATATACTTTAGTACGCCCCTCTGCTGATATTGCCCCGAACACTAACTATGTAGTCATGTATTCCCCTAAGGAAGGCTAATCTGTTTCTACAATTAAAATGTTAGTACAGAAGCATCAATTTGACATTGAGGTTTCAAGGACTTTACAGTAAGGAAAGTTCAACCTTGGATCACATTTAGCCTGTTTTTGAATGTGTTAATCAGTGTATTCCTACGATGAATTGTGCTAGCTAAAAAAACGATCTTCATCCACCGTGCCAATCAATACACAGTTTATGCATTGGGCCCATAATTCAATTAACATGAATACCAACATCACTTTTGGTTAGATCTAAAAATAAAATGTTACATGTGGCGAGATGTCGGAAGTAACTAAGATTGCAGATGTGGATGAATGATGTGAAATATAATCAAGTGTTAAATCAGACTTTATTTCCACCTGGAGTAAATTCACAAGCTACCCTGCAGTATACAAAGTCATTCAAACTAGCTGCACCTTCACCAGCTTTGAGAACACTTTCATGATCAATCATTATAAAACATATCATATATATTATTCTGAAATGGACCAATCTGCACAACGACTACTTTTACTGTCGCTACTTTCACTATATTTTGAAGATAATACTTTTCTACTTTCACTTGAGGAACATTTTGAATACAGGACTTTTACTGTAACAGAGTATTCCTACACTCTGGTACTTCTACTTTTACTCAAGTACAAGATCTGACTCAGATCTTGTACTTGAGTAAAAGTAGAAGTACTCAGATCTGAGTACTTCTACTTTTACTCAAGTACAAGATCTGAGTACTTCTACTTTTACTCAAGTACAATATCTGAGTACTTCTACTTTTACTCAAGTACAAGATCTGAGTACTTCTACTTTTACTAAGTACAAGATCTGAGTACTTCTACTTTTACTCAAGTACAAGACCTGAGTACTTCTACTTTTACTCAAGTACAAGACCTGAGTACTTCTACTTTTACTCAAGTACAAGACCTGAGTACTTCTACTTTTACTCAAGTACAAGACCTGAGTACTTCTACTTTTACTCAAGTACAAGATCTGAGTACTTCTACTTTTACTCAAGCACAAGATCTGAGTACTTCTACTTTTACTCAAGTAACAGATCTGAGTACTTCTACTTTTACTCAAGGACAAGATCTGAGTACTTCTACTTCTACTCAAGAACAAGATCTGAGTACTTCTACTTTTACTCAAGTACAAGATCTGAGTACTTCTACTTTTACTCAAGCACAAGACCTGAGTACTTCTACTTTTACTAAAGTGCAAGACCTGAGTACTTGTACTTTTACTCAAGTACAAGATCTGAGTACTTCTACTTTAACTCAAGCACAAGACCTGAGTACTTCTACTTTTACTAAAGTGCAAGACCTGAGTACTTGTACTTTTACTCAAGTACAAGACCTGAGTACTTCTCCCTCCTCTTCCATTAATACTGTTTTCCTGACTGGTCTTAGGGATGTTCTGTTTCTGTCTTATGTCAGTGTGTATGTTGGTGTATTCTTGTCATTGCTGTTACTGTAATGGTCTTTTTATGTTATTATCATTGTTGTTTTGTCATAATTGTGTTTTCATCTTTTTTGTATGTATCTGTTATATAGCACCTGCATTTGTACTCTGTATGTTCTCCTATTATTGTGTTATGTGTGGGAACAAACAATAAATAAAGACAATACAACAAATAATAATACTGTGTTCCTGTAGTCAAAGTCTCACCTGGTGTTTGCAGAAGGTGTGAATGAGACCCACATTGATGTAGTTGATGGAGATCCCGATCACCACCACGATCACATTCTTGGCCACAGCTTTAGAGAAGGAGTCTCGATACTGAATGACCATGGTCCCATTGGCAGAGGACACGCTCATCTCCACAGAGATAAAGCTCTAACAGAGGAAAGGCATTGTAAATATTGACAGTAAATTCAAGAAATTGCATCAATAGCTTGTACCGACTCTCGTGAATCTACATTTCTACATATCTCTTACTGTATGTACATTGCCTTGTCTCTTTATGCTTCTGCAACGCAAACATTTCCCAAATTGGGATCAATATAGTACCTATCTATCTATTTATCTATCTATCTATCTACCTATCAATCTATCTATCTACCTATCAATCTATCTATCTATCTACCTATCTATCTATCTATCTATCCATCTATCTGTCTACCTACCTACCTACCTACCTACCTATCAATCTACCCATCTATCTATCTACCTATCAATCTATCTATCTATCTACCCATCTATCTATCTATCTATCTATCTACCTACCTATCTATCTATCTACCTACCTACCTACCTATCTATCTATCTACCTACCTATCTATCTATCTACCTACCTACCTACCTATCTACCTATCTACCAGTCCTCAGATTAAAGAGCAGAAGTTCCCAACAAAAAAGTATAATTCCTAAGACTGTTGTTTTAAGTTAAGACATACATCACTATTATACTCCATTCGAACATCACTTCAAATACAAACAATACAATGTGGGGCAATAAAAGGTGGGTTGATATGAACTGCCCACACAGTTGTGTTTTATATTCTTCTTCTATATCTGGATGAATTATAAATATTCAAAAAAAATACTTTTGCTACAAAAACGTGAGAAGAGCATTCATTTCCGTCAAACAGTATCAGCTGAGGATCAGGGTGTAAACCTGGAAGATAACATACCTATATATTGGTTAATACATTTAAAGTGAATGCATTTAATTAACAAGAAGGGCCAGAAATACATTGACTCATTATGTGGTCTTATTTCTTTTTAAAAGTGTCAAAAAAGCAAGCTGATTGAGAACGTAAAAGTATAGCATCGTGTTGATACCTGCATTTGTAATCAGCATTTGATCATAGTTGCATTTGTTTGCTATCAATGATTCGGGTAAAACTATTGTCATGTTTTGCAAATGTTTTATCTATCTTATTATTGCTTCTTCGAGCAGACTTAGATTTGTGTTCAGGCAGTTTTGAGAACATAAATTAAAGTGTAAAATGTCCTGCAATAGAAAAAAGTGATATTAAACATACCGTACAAAGCACCACAAACTCGCCTGTGCAGTAATACTCACAAGTATTCTGTCCGTATGTCGACATGGACAACAATGCACATCCTTCATATGACCATACAGTTTGTATTTCATAATGATACATAAGTACTACACAGTTCAGAGAAACAATACTTCACTTTGAAACAGCTTAACATCTCTGTTGTTTCATTACTACATGTGTAATGCATGCAGAAGACTTACCTCGGGACACCAGCGTTGTTGTCTTTAAGACTTTAAATGTAGTTTGGTTTGCAATCATCAACGGACAGAGTGTCAATGCATGTTTGGATATTGAGTGCATCCAATAAAAGTATATAAAAACTTTCAAAAATGAACGTAAAAGTATGAATCTCTGTACAAAAAGCCTGATATCTTACTAAAATGGAGAGAGTCTCTGTCTGGACTTCGACTGCAAGCTCTTGAGATCTGCAGGTCTTATTTATTAGATGTGCTTCAAATGGAGCGGCGCCGTAAGGACGTATTTCTGTAGACCAGGAAGTAAGCATCACAAGAACTGTGCTTCTAAAAAAGGCCTAAGAACGCATATTTTTTTAGATCAGCCTTTTACTAGATCGTTAAAACCCCACGTGTTGCCATGCTATTGTGTTGTTTAATTAGTTTTTGTTGTTTTGTTTCAACCATTTTACTCTGTAGCACTTTGAGTTGTGTTTACTCAAATGAAAAGTGCACTTATAAATAAAATGGATTCTTCTTATTAAGAGCTCCCCGGACAAAAAGTCAATGGGATTTTTCCATTGGATTTAGAATATCTGAGAAAATAGTCTCTGTGGTAAACAAACTTTTATGATACTTACACGTTTTGTTGAGCAGGATAATCTCCACACATTAACACCACGTTTATAATGATTGAGTGGAAGAGTCAATGCAATCTCCAGAAGTAAAAAGCTAACGTTAAGCTATAAAGGAACTGCAAACCAGTCACATGACTTCCCGTCACCATCGCCAAGCTAAAGGCTAATGTTCGGCCTGATGGCGTTTAGTCGTCTCTTTTACACACTTGTTTAAAGGGGACCTACCACAGAAAATGCACTTTGTGATGTCTTTTATACATCAATATGTGTCCCCGGTGTGTCGGGGAACTCACGCAGCGTCAGAAAACAAAACCCTCTCTTTTCCTCCGTACCCAAATCTTTTAAAAACGGGTGTACAACGAGCGGATACAGATTCCATCCGAACTGACGTCAAATCGGCAGCGGACCCACAGAGAGTTGCTATCAGAAACAATGCCTGACGTGTTTTGGACGTCTTTGTTTACATTAGCAAGCCTCGCTAACACTCAGAGCTAACCTGTACTGGAGAGCACATGTGTTTAAAAAGCAGAAAATAAAAAAAAGAACTTACCTTGTGATAAACCCGCGAGAGAAAAAGCATTTGAGCTCCATACTGTTTCAGAAATAATCCTTGATGTGGTTTAGAACAGGATGACGTTTTATCACAACAGAATTTAGCTTTATCTCCGATAGAATTCTGATCAGGCATTAGCTCCGCCTCCTCTTCTTTCTTTCTTTTTCAAACTAAGGACCCACGATCCGCGTTTCTCTAACAGGGCTGCAACAGAGGGGTCTGAGTAGTATGAGGCATGGCTACAATGGGTGATCTGTTTGGTATAGGTATGGCCCTACAATATATGTTTCAAATATAGCAATAGGTCCACTTTAAGTGCTGCTTTTATGGCAGATAGAGGCTTCAGACATTCACCATTGCTGACATTTGCTGACATATTTTACGTTGTATAACAAAATGTGAAAATCTCTTCAGCTTGTGTTAACCACAGATCTTATTTACGGTCACCTAACCAAAAACTAAGTTAGAAAAACATTGAGTTCCAGACGAGGGAGCAGGAAGTGCTAAAATGCTGACTCACTTCCCGGGGAGGGGGCTCTATTAAGTGTAACACCATCAAACTGCATTCTGGGTACAGTTTGTTCTCCATCACTTCAGTCAAAGATGTTCTATCAGCAAAGATAGCGCCGATTATATTAATTATTACACACTTTTTGTATCCTTAAGGTGCGTAGTCCAACGCACTATTATTTTATTTGGCTAAAGTTGGATGTTTACACAGCTAACAAATATGTTTATCATTACTAATATAATTTAGCGCAGACTTTTGGGAATGTAAGTTAATGTTAGCTTAACATTTTGACACAGCTTTGATAATGTTTGCAGGCCGAACATCAGCCCAGTGTCGATAACAATAATGTCATTCTAGTGAATCTAGTCCATTCTATCCTTGGGCAAAACACTGAACCCGGAGTTGCTCCTGATGGCCAACTGTGTGTGTGTGTGTGTGTGTGTGTGTGTGTGTGTGTGTGTGTGTGTGTGTGTGTGTGTGTGTGTGTGTGTGTGTGTGTGTGTGTGTGTGTGTGTGTGTGTGTGTGTGTGTGTGTGTGTGTGTGTGTGTGTGTGTGTGTGGTGTGTGTGTGTGTGTGTGTGTGTGTGTGTGTGTGTGTGTGTGTGTGTGTGTGTGAGTTAGGTGTGAATGGGTGAATCACTCGTAGTATGTCAAGCACTTTAAGTGGTTGTAAAGACTGGATAAAGCGCTATATGAGTACATTTACAGCAGCAATGTGAGAAAATGCTATTCACACCCTGCTTAAGTGTACACAGTGTAAGTGATGGCAGAAAATATCACTAGTAATTTTCTCTGAGTCATTTCATTTGAGGTTGGTTTGTGTTTTTGTAATTGTTTTGTAGTTTTGCTGCGTGGTTCATTTTGGAGGTTTAAGATCATACGTCTGGGTAAGGCCAGATAGCGTATCGACAGTAATATAATATATAATCGTACAAAATCATGATTTATGAATGTTTTGAGAACGATTCTCAATATGTTCAGATACTAACTAATTCCTCCAAGATATTTGAGTTAGTATTTTGAGAAAATGTATATCTGTTCTGGTATACATTATTTCTTCATCACTTTGGCAGAAATGTGCTTCCATATTTGATATTTTCCTTTTATCTGTGTTTACATATATTACAGCTTCAGCTTGTTCCTCAAAATGAAAGAAATGCGGCCATGTTGTCCAACAGAGAGATGCTGATTATGCTTCTGGAAAGAATACCCTACGTTGACATATTTAGTTTCTAAATCCCTCAGTGTCTTCTTGAACTTTTTACTTTGTTCTTCTTTCTTTTGTCACTTCTCCTGTTGAGCAGAACTGTGAGTAAACTTCCTGTGAACTTCTCCACAGGAAGACTTCTGGGTCCTGCTGACATTTGCTCAGCTCCTCTGTGTAATGGGTGTAACTTTAAAGGTCAAACAGCTCGTTATGCATCAGAGGGAGCTATTAGCCACGTCTTCTGAGAGTGTTTCTGATCTAAAGAAGATTGGCCTTTTGAGTAACTTAAAAACAAGTTGCAGCATCCTCTATGGAAAGCAGTGATTAAGTTCTCTGACCTTAACAAGGATAGTCAAAAACAAAAAAGGTATTCTCTGTGGACAAACATGCCCTTTATCCACCGGTGATCCATAACAACGATATATTTTTGTTTTCCACGCCTGACTTGTTTACTGCGAAGCTAATTAACAGAAGCAGAACGTTTGTTTGTCATGATTTAAACTTTCCTGTAAAGTGTGTTCATCACACCACATGAAAAGTTTATTTTCCAAAGGAGCAATATTCTGCATCTTCAGGTTCATACAGAAATGTCTGTTGGTTTCCATGGAAAAAAAATACTTCTTGTTTTTTCCAGAAATCACCAAGGTCTCTTTGTGTCATCCCGACAGGAAAACAGATACAAAAAATGTTTTTAAACGGTCAGAAAGACTCAAACAAAAACTAAATAATCTGATAATTTATCAACAATTCATGGGAAATGTCTTAATTTCCTTAACGAGGGAAACCCCTCGGTCATCATCATGGTGAGGAGGGGTCGAAAAAAGCAGGGGTAAGGTAGTTTTATAAGTCTAAGATCGCTCAAAGTTTTTGCTTTAAAGCGGCCCTACAATGAACATTTCCAGGTGTATATCAGTATGTAGTGTCTCTACTTTAAAGAGTCCTCTCCTGCTGATGTTCAGGTGTATATCAGTATGTAGTGTCTCTACTTTAAAGAGTCCTCTCCTGCTGATGTTCAGGTGTATATCAGTATGTAGTGTCTCTATTTTAAAGAGTCCTCTCCTGCTGATGTTCAGGTGTATATCAGTATGTAGTGTCTCTACTTTAAAGAGTCCTCTCCTGCTGATGTTCAGGTGTATATCAGTATGTAGTGTCTCTACTTTAAAGAGTCCTCTCCTGCTGATGTTCAGGTGTATATCAGTATGTAGTGTCTCTACTTTAAAGAGTCCTCTCCTGCTGATGTTCAGGTGTATATCAGTATGTAGTGTCTCTACTTTAAAGAGTCCTCTCCTGCTGATGTTCAGGTGTATATCAGTATGTTGTGTCTCTACTTTAAAGAGTCCTCTCCTGCTGATGTTCAGGTGTATATCAGTATGTAGTGTCTCTACTTTAAAGAGTCCTCTCCTGCTGATGTTCAGGTGTATATCAGTATGTAGTGTCTCTACTTTAAAGAGTCCTCTCCTGCTGATGTTCAGGTGTATATCAGTATGTAGTGTCTCTACTTTAAAGAGTCCTCTCCTGCTGATGTTCAGGTGTATATCAGTATGCAGTGTCTCTACTTTAAAGAGTCCTCTGCTGCTGATGTTCAGGTGTATATCAGTATGTAGTGTCTCTACTTTAAAGAGTCCTCTCCTGCTGATGTTCAGGTGTATATCAGTATGTAGTGTCTCTACTTTAAAGAGTCCTCTCCTGCTGATGTTCAGGTGTATATCAGTATGTAGTGTCTCTACTTTAAAGAGTCCTCTCCTGCTGATGTTCAGGTGTATATCAGTATGTAGTGTCTCTACTTTAAAGAGTCCTCTCCTGCTGATGTTCAGGTGTATATCAGTATGCAGTGTCTCTACTTTAAAGAGTCCTCTGCTGCTGATGTTCAGGTGTATATCAGTATGTAGTGTCTCTACTTTAAAGAGTCCTCTCCTGCTGATGTTCAGGTGTATATCAGTATGTAGTGTCTCTACTTTAAAGAGTCCTCTCCTGCTGATGTTCAGGTGTATATCAGTATGTAGTGTCTCTACTTTAAAGAGTCCTCTCCTGCTGATGTCCAGGTGTATATCAGTATGTAGTGTCTCTACTTTAAAGAGTCTTCTCCTGCTGATGTTCAGGTGTATATCAGTATGTAGTGTCTCTACTTTAAAGAGTCCTCTCCTGCTGATGTTCAGGTGTATATCAGTATGTAGTGTGTCTACTTTAAAGAGTCCTCTCCTGCTGATGTTCAGGTGTATATCAGTATGTAGTGTCTCTACTTTAAAGAGTCTTCTCCTGCTGATGTTCAGGTGTATATCAGTATGTAGTGTCTCTACTTTAAAGAGTCCTCTCCTGCTGATGTTCAGGTGTATATCAGTATGTAGTGTCTCTACTTTAAAGAGTCCTCTCCTGCTGATGTTCAGGTGTATATCAGTATGTAGTGTCTCTACTTTAAAGAGTCCTCTCCTGCTGATCTTCAGGTGTATATCAGTATGTATTGTCTCTACTTTAAAGAGTTCTCTCCTGCTGATCTTCAGGTGTATATCAGTATGTAGTGTCTCTACTTTAAAGAGTCCTCTCCTGCTGATGTTCAGGTGTATATCAGTATGTAGTGTCTCTACTTTAAAGAGTCCTCTCCTGCTGATGTTCAGGTGTATATCAGTATGTAGTGTCTCTACTTTAAAGAGTCCTCTCCTGCTGATCTTCAGGTGTATATCAGTATGTATTGTCTCTACTTTAAAGAGTTCTCTCCTGCTGATCTTCAGGTGTATATCAGTATGTAGTGTCTCTACTTTAAAGAGTCCTCTCCTGCTGATCTTCAGGTGTATATCAGTATGTAGTGTCTCTACTTTAAAGAGTCCTCTCCTGCTGATGTTCAGGTGTATATCAGTATGTAGTGTCTCTACTTTAAAGAGTCCTCCCCTGCTGATGTTCAGGTGTATATCAGTATGTAGTGTCTCTACTTTAAAGAGTCCTCTCCTGCTGATGTTCAGGTGTATATCAGTATGAAGTGTCTCTACTTTAAAGAGTCCTCTCCTGCTGATGTTCAGGTGTATATCAGTATGTAGTGTCTCTACTTTAAAGAGT